TCTTCGCTAGTTCGGCTGCATGAGTTTCTGACAAACGTATTAATTGAGCCTCCTTGTCGGCACGGTCTTGACGAGTTTTCTGGTGCTCCTCCCGAGTTCGTTGATGGTCTTCTTGCTCCTTCAAGTAGCGGTTCAAATTATTCCTGACCTCCATCTCGGACGCACCAATCTGCGCCGTAAGCTTGCGCACCTCGTCTTCTAGATGTTTCTTCTCGACAGTCAAATCTTCAACTTCAGTTTTTGTTGTAGCAAGTTGAACAGTTTTTTCTTAAACCTCAGCCATCAGAGTAGCCTTGTCCGCCTCCAAGGACATTAATTGACCGTCGCGTAACTCCATCTTGTCCTTACGCTCATCTAACGCTGCCGCATTCATTCGAAATTCATCTTCCATTGCACAGAGGCCGACCAAGCCTCTCCCCAAGGTGGCCTTGGCGTAGCTGAATCTGTAAGCACTAGACAACCCAGAAACTCGCGCCTCTATCAAAAGGTCCCATGACATCAATGGAACCCGAGCTGCCTCCATCACATGCGGAGGCTGATGAAACTTGTTCTTGAATTTTGGAATTATCATGGAATGGAATTGGGTAAACCATCTCTCCATTATGTCCTCAGGAAGATTGAGATTGAGAACCCTTTCTTCATCAATGGACAGATACGTGTCGCCCCCATCTTGGTGAACAGGAGCATTCTTCTCGAGGGATAATCGACGTCCTGTCTTGCCTTGGACCGCCGCTCCTCTGCCACCTCGAAATCATCACCAGCCTTTCTCTTTGACTTCTTCTTCTTCTTCTTTTGAGTTGAAGAACCCTCGGTAGTTTTCTTAGCAATCTCGGTTTCTTCTGAACTAGATATAATTACATGCTGATCTGGGCTAGCCATTGCGACATCCTTCTCAGTCTCTGGGATAACATCATTTTCAGCTTCAGGGGCAGCGACAAGAGTTGCAATCGGCATCCTGATGTTCGTCTAGGGAACATGTTCCAAAGCAGACTCAATGATTGGGGCCGGTACCACAACCGCCTCTGGTGGGACCGACGTGACCCCCATGTCGGCACTCCTAGAAGCACGACTCGCCGCCTTCTTCTTCAATCCTTCTAAAAAGTTCATACGACCCATTTCGGTATCCTTGACAGAAAACCGACGTCGATAATCCTTTGCCTCTCGAACGGATTTGAAACCGAAGAAACCGAGTAACGGGTAATAAGCTGGAAAAAATATACAGCAAAAGGGTTCCTTCAATTTATGCGGAAGTGAAAGGAAAGAAAACGAAGAAATGACCTAAGCAATAGAAAACTTACCAGGATCGAAGTCGGGAATAGCCTTCTTCGCTCCTAATTTGGCATCAGCAAGCTTTGAATTCTTCGTCAGCAGAGACCACTTACGCTCCGAAACACTTAGTTTTGCCAAATCCTCGAGTTTCTCCCTGAATTCCCCACTAAGTCTGGGTTCTGACTTCTTTTTGGCTACAAATACGAAAAGGACCGACCTGTTAGCGAAAGAAAAACATGTCGTCAGGAGATTTCGGGAAGAAGAGAGAGACTTACGAAAAGAAGAAACAACTCGGTTTGGGATTGTCATCCCATCAATGGGTGTCTCAAGTCGGAAGCCGGGGGATTGCCAATCCCCACCAACCCACAGCCATTCATCCTGGAAGCCATGAAGAGTCTCTGGGATTCCTGTGATCAGCTGCCCCATCTTCAAGTCGTATTGCGGCCTTGCCGCACAGAAAAAACAACCAGTTGGTGGAACCCCTTCGCGTTCCCTACTCCTTTTGAAATGAAATATACTTCTCAATTCATCAATCGTTGAAAAAGGTTGTTTCTTCTGCGCCAAAAGAACCATAATTCCTATGATCTTCTTCCAACTATTGGGGGTCATTTGACTGATGCTAAGCCCCCAATCACGCAAGTAATCGGTGATCACAATGTCTAAAGGAAACCTGAGCCCCGACCTTAAACTCTCAGCAAAAATCCCAATATAACCGGGGGGAGGACAGTGAATTCTTTCTCCCGGATAAGGAGCAAAGATTCTAACCGACGAGGGGATCCGTACCGACTCGCGAAGTAGGACTACGTCAGCATCGGTCATGATGCTGGGCTCCCCTAGAAACAGAACATCGTCGTCAGGCCAACGCCGAGCAGGGCGATTCCAATACCCCGACCTCACAGGGATATCTCGTTCTACCTCGGCGTCTCCTTCAACATTGTTCTTATGGATGTCTAGACGTTCTACATAAACAGGGTCCCACCGGTAGTAATCCCCCATCAACTCCATCAACTCCTCATCCAACCTCATATCCGACACAGTTCGGCTGCTCCTTGGCTCCACTTGCTCACCGCTCACCGTCATAATCACAACCAGGAAAAACAACGCAAAGGAATTAAGAAATAGAAAGAGGAAATTAGGGCATACCGAAAATTGGAGTAAACTCTTAAAAAATTCTGGATTTGTCGAGATATGACGGAAGAATAGAAGGAGAGGTGAAAGAAACAATTAGATAATCGAAAAGATAGAAAAGTTGCTTGAATGAAGATTTCGTAAATGGAGACTGTGAACCTATATGTATATATATACGATATTTTCTAACCGTTGAAGATGGAGAGGCGCGTGAGAAACCGTAGCGTCGTTTGAGGGAAATCTCCTTAATTCTGACATAAAGTTTGAGGTGTAATCTCGCACGTACGCGTGTCCCGAAACTGTTGAAATTAATATCCGAAATTTATGGTACGTGCCCGTTGGGAAGAGTAGTGGAGAAGACACGTTCGTAACCTCTCGAAAACTGCTCTGTAATCGTCTTCTGGTCTTATATAGCTCTATCAAAGGAGCGAAAATGTGATTCTTGTCTAAGAAAATTACCTCGGCTTAACTTGTAAAGGATCTATATGCGAATTCGGAAATGGAGGACGATTGAGGAAAGGATGTCATTAAAAAGCACACTTATTTGCGTACTTCTTAATGTCAGGGGCCTCTATGTTGATATCAGGATTGAATACCTTGTGACAAAGGACAGATTAAAGATTTCATAAAGGCCAAACCACGAACCGGGTCTTTGACAATAAAATTTGAAATGATTGGCACCTCGGAAATATCACCTCGGTTCTCAACGACGTCCAAAGACAAACGGTAACTCCCAAAGGTCGTCAGGATAAAACGCAAAAACCTCGAGATTGCCACCTCGGTTAGAGAGCAGCTTATCGGAAGTCATGGAAGACTAAAATTCTATCGAAAAGCCGACGTCGCGAATAACACCGACTTCAACCCGACAGAAGTGACGCTTGTCACACAGATAGAGGAGCGCCCATGCTCATCATTACCTAAAAAGCTTGCCTACGTCATTGCCGCCCCTAAGCCGTCAAATCCTCATTAAATAAAGCTAATTTATCTTGGGAGTTGTGCCAAGCATAACTATAAATAGCAGCATTAAAGACGATACGAGGATTCGGCTCGAAGACAGAAAAACTCATACATTTATTATCTCGGTTTTCTCTTCTACCGACTTGGTGTATTAGAAAAAACCGACCTCCCAATTCTGTAACCGACTTCAATATCTTCAGTAAAAATCATATTTTCTGCAATCTTTACTGTACTTTTTACCTTAATTACGTTGGTTAAATACGTTTATCAACAGCAAATACATAAGATAAAGCTATGCCTCAAAATAATATAATTTCCAATAAATTATTTTTAAAAGTAGAAATAAATCCAATCAGATTGGAACGCCGGGTATTCTACTCTAACAGTGACTTCATGTGGTCATTTAGAGTTATTGATGTGTTTTGTGCTCTGCTCTTTGGTATCTTTGCTGCATCTGCACTAATCTTATTCGCACTTATCTTATCTGTTGGTTGAGGTGTACTATCTGCGTTTATTTTGTGTTTATGACTTTTGGACTTAGTTTTCGATCATGATGTAGTTGATGTCTGCTGTTTAATGGACACTTACGTCGTATTACTGTTGTTGTCTTCTTTTTCATGTGTCGTCAATGAGTCATTTATTCTGTTTTTTGTGATTCATGTTGTTCATTTATTCTGTTTTTCGTGATTCATGTTGTTGGAGTATGGTTATCATAATCTTTTCTTCTTTACCTGCTTTTTTTGCAGTCAATTGTCTTTGCTTTTGGATAGTTTATTAATGTATTTTGTTTATTTTTTACTTTGTTGCTTAGGTGTTATGGGTATGCTGGGAAAAAAATGACAGCCAATTATAAAGTCTTCGTAAAATTTTATCAAATGGGCTATAAAAAAATATATGGGCCGGCTGTACATGGATTTAACTAGTTTTTATTTGATTTGTTTTTAATTGTAGTTAATTTTGAAAAAATGTGATATGATTAGTTGTTAGTTGATATATTAAAATAATATTTAAATAAAATAATAAAGTTAATTTGATGTAAAGTAAGAAAAAAAATGATTGGAAATGATGGTCAGTTAAAATTATGTTAGTAAATGAATAGTAAGAGCATCTCCAATGTGGCTTTTGACATTATAAAAATTCATCCATATCATCAACTTTTGAAAGTGTGTTATTAATTTATTCTCCAATGCATCTTGTCATGAACTCTTTCATGATGAGGTAGATAGCATTTAATGTTGACAATGTTGAACACACTTTCTAATATCTAACACCATGTTAAACATGATGACTAATCAATTCACTTTATATTTAATTTAATTTTTTTTTGTTCTTGTATTAATGATTATTTTAATTGGTCCACCTATACATATAACTTCTCATCAAATTGATGCATTGGAGATACTAGTTTGATTCAAATTTCTACTCTTTTAACATTATTCCTACATGGATTAACATTACAATCATTGATTGACATGTGTTAAAAATCATTGTCTTTCAAAGTTATAACATTGGAGATGCTCTAAATTAAAGTTAATGTGATGTGTAAAAATAATTAGTTGATATTATTTTATTATATTGATAATATTAGAATAGTGGAGTTGAATTAAAGTTGAGTTAAATTTGAGTTTTAATTGGTTTTTTTTACTGTTGAAACTATATCCAAATAGCCCCCTAAGTTTCTAGTAGGCTTCTATACATGAAAGCACATTTTTTTTCCACCACAAACTCACAAAAATCCCTATACAAAACTCGCATCGGTTCTTCCCGCTTAAATTGTATAGACAAAGCCAAAATTTCCTTCTACAAACCTGTAAAAGCTAAAATAAACTTTAACTCGCACCTTCAAGAGAGCGCGTGCCTCAAACGGGGAGAATGCTGAAAAGCAACCATGTGTTGTCAAATCAAATGTAAATTGGATCCTCAATAAATGAAGATCTGACTTTACAAACTGACGGCTTGGGAAGCTCCTTGTATATTTATCAATTATCATACGAGAAGAGCCTGCAGAACCTCTTATTAAGTCATTTTACTACTCCAAGTCCAAGGTGTTCTCCCAGTTCTAGTCCCCGAAAAGAGTACTGCCTCTGATACCCCAGCAACTGCCCTCTTAGTTGTATATCTTCACAGCCTTCTCATATGGCTGACGATACTGAATAAATAATAATTTTAAATGTTAGAGCAGCAATAATAATAATAATAATAATAATAATAAACATATTATATGTCTGTAGATGCTTAAACTGAGTATTGTCCTTATTTCGCAAAATATATCCAAAGCACAAAGCAGTGTATTAAACAATTAGTAATATATTTGGCAACAAATTATTGGTATTCATGCTCAACTAAAGCTGAAAAATCTTGAACGTGTCAAGCATCTCAGTTTTTTTTTTTTTATTTATTTGAACTCGATGCAGACGTCACAATAATATTAGAAACAGCTAGATTGGGTGTATGTTTGATTATTTATTTACAAGAGTCCACAAACAGACAACCTGACCACTATAGTGACACACAGGTGTACACAGTGCTCATTTCATTTTGCTTATGATTTTGATAGTCTTGAACATTCAAAAGGTCTTCGTGATTTCTTAATAGAGTTTCCAGCTCTAACTATGACCATTTCTTTAACAAGGATTACCTAAATTATGTTGAACGACCCAGTGCGCTCTTTTCTAGACCAATCTGATTAAAATAAGATATATTTCACTTTGATCGACCCACATATGTTGCACAGTGATGCATATGACTTTAGTACGGTTCAAGCCATATTTATTGATCGAGATGTAAAAGTTTAACAGGAACAGTACCCATACAAAGTAGAAATGCTTTCGCAATATCTTTAGAAGAGTACAGCATCGAGACTGAATAAGTGCAGGAACAGAGTACCTGATTAGCAGCAAGAGGCCTTTTTGGAGCATTATCTACATGTTCAAGTCCAAGATATTGCTCCCAAGCAACATAAATGCCGCTCCTCTGTAGGAACCAGGATTCGTTACCATGAAATATGGACATCATAAAAAGTTCCTCTTTGCCATTGGTGAGTCACACACACACACACAGAAAGAATAATTAGTTTTTTCAGTGAGAGAGAGCGAGACCTGGAAACGACTCAATAGTATGTCTGAATCCTTTAGATACTCAGCCCGGCCTTGTGAAACATAAGCAAATTTCCACTGGACAAAAAGATTAAGGCATAAGTAGAAGTAAATCTGTCGCATAGCAACAGATAAGAAACATCTGCTTCAAAAAGAAAAATCAAAGATATGATAATGATCAATGATCAAAGGCAGTACAATTCAGCAATTGAAACATATAACTGAATAAGGGATAAAGCACAAAACCTTAGAAAATTCTTCATGCGGCACATTTAACTTTTTCTGTACACGAGTCTTTACATGAGCTAAAGTCTCATCGTCACGAATGGCCAACAAAAATGGCTCACCGAAGTTTTGAATTTTCTGTAGGAACAAAAAGGAAGTGAACTATCAGGGCAATGGAAATAGCAGGTAACATGCTTTTTGTGGATTGTTATCTCAAGTAGCACATCCAAGTTCCAACAAATAAGCACGTAATTACGGTTTTGGAAAAATCATGTTATCTCAAATGTTACCATTTGGTTCTGATTTTCTTCATTCATAAAATGATATACATGAATCAAGCAATCATGTTCACCGAGATTTCGCTCTTCCTCGGGTATCTGCAAAAATAAATTAGGAAGAATTTGATCATGAAGACAAATAATGGCAACACAAGTCACCTCTTTTTTTTAAGGACCAAAATTACACAAATCTTTAGGTACAGTTACACCCAAATGCATGTCTTATTCAACCAAACATGCAAATGATGATGAACAGAGCTGAAAAAATCCATGATACGGGTAAAAATCAATGACCTGTTCAGGACCAGTGACAACTGCAACAGCATTTTAATTTCTTTAACAGATGTATGTTTTTAAGAATTATGGGCACACACACAAGCACACAGAGAAAGAGAGAGAGAGAGAGAGAGAACCTCTTCCGCTCGTAAAGTCCAGTAGTTGTCATTTATGGTTTCTATCTTTTCACTGGATGGAAATATCTGCAAATGAATCTTGTTTAAGCAACCGAATCTTAAAAATTTATATAGAAAACAAGTATGTCCAAAAGAAATAGTATGAGAATACTACGCTAGCAGCTGTAGCAGAGAACATAACAAACTAATGTGCTCTAATTTCCTTTGACTCCCTACAAGAATATAGATCATTCAATAGGAACCAAGTTGCAATACACCAGAAATGACCATGTTTCATAATGAGATAAGGAGTAAGTCAGATAATAGTTTTCAGGAGTCCATGGCCCATGGTCACATCAGAATGGACACACATGCTCAAGTTGCTGAAAAGATGGCTTGCATGTGAGAACTTGCTCACCAAATAATCTGTTGTTTTCTAATCATGACCACATTACGAACATGCTAAAAATAACTTCCTAAAAAATGATACAAATCATATACAATCAAATTAGCATGATATATCCAAGGGGAAAATCCATTACACGGCCCAACTTTATGGAATCGTATCAATTTAAAGCCTCAATTTTATTCTGTTTCAATAGAAGATTTACATTTTAGGTTATTCTCAATTTAAGACTCACTCTTTTATTTAACTTTTCAATGTAAGGCACAACTAACTTTACTTTTTGAAATAAATATCTGAACCATAATATTATTTTTTGTAACCTATATTTTACATATTTTTGTCAAAATTATTAACTACATTTAACAATTAACTTAAATGAGGAAACAAATCAATATAAGTTACATTTATGCAAAAGTTTAATAAATTTTATTTTCAAAAATTATAAGAGAAATTAGAAATACATAGGTTAAATATTATTTTGATCAATAAAGTAAATATGTAATAAAATTAAGATATAAATCCAAATATGTAATAAAAATACAAAATTAAAAACTGAAGTAATAAAAAAAGGAAGTTGAAAATAATATTTAAATAATATTTCCTAATTTTATTGCATATTTTTAGATTATTAATAAAAATAATATTTTACTTATATATTTTTCAAATTCTCTTATCAATTTTTGAAAGTAATCTTTATTTAACATTTTCTTACATTTATATAGATTCATTTTCTCATTAAGGTAATTCTACTAAATATGTTAATTATTTTTTATTATAAGTATATAAAATATAAATTACAAAACAAAAATATTTTTGTTCATATAATTATATCATAAAATAAGGTATGAAATAAAGTTAGTTGGTTCACATAGTTATGTCAATATGTCAAAAAGTAAAGGTAGTTACGTCTTACATTGAGAAGTTAATATAGTTACGTCTTACATTGAGAAGTTAATAAAAAGTGAGCCTTAAATTGAGAATAACTTAAAAAGTTTAGAGCATGTTTGTTTATAAGATTTTTTCAAAAAAATTTCAACATTTTAACTCAACCACACTATCATCAATATTATCAATATAATTAAATAATATCAATCAATCAATCATACACACCACATCAACCTTAATTCACTATTCATCCACTCACATTATTTTAACTAACTATCACTTCAAATCATCTCTCTCATACTTTTACATCAAATCAATTTTAATTATTTTATCTTAAATATTATTTTAATATACCTAACAATACCACCTTTTTCAAAATTAACCAAACCAAACAAAAAAATCTAAACAAAACCAAAAATTTCCATAAACAAACATGCTCTTAAATCTTCTACTGAAAAAAAAAAATAAAATCCATACCTTAATTTGATACAATTCCAAAAGGTTGGGTCTTGTAATAGAATTTTCCCATTATCCAAAACCTCAAATATCCATTTATTTAATTGGGATTTTAAGTGACATTTTAAAACTTTTTAAGATTTGAGACTTTATAAGATTTACAGGTTTTGAAGGAATTCTATGAAATCTTAAGTTTGGATGTAAGATTTGAAGTGGGATTTCGTATAAGGTTTTTTGTATAGAAATCCCACCAAATCTCAAAAAGTCTTAACAATCCTAGTGTCAAATAAATTAAATACCTCATAATTTTGTAGGACTTTTTAAAATCCCAATTGAATACCCCAAGATTTTTAAAAGTCTTAACAAATCTAAATTGAATACACCAGGATTTCTAAAGTCATAAAAAGTCCTTAGAAATCATAATTGATTACACCCCCCTAAATCTATATCTTGAATAGAAGTCGACAATTCATTTCATTCAGGATTTATGGCTACTTTTCCCACTCTAACATATCAATGAGCCAAGTATTCATTAGTCAATGCATCACAAGCATGCTACGTCCTAATTTTTACAACATAGGTAAATTTAAAATTGTATGGATTTCCAATTGGCCAATAGTGACAAAATCATGTTTAAATTAAATGCATCTCAAACATGTCTAGTTGGCCCGTCCTACTTTTGGTACTTCCTCATGAACGTACATGGTATCACATAACTGACACACTACTTTACCTTTCCCAAAGACACTTGGAGCATGTTTGTATATAAGAAATTTAAAAATAAAATCAATATTTAATTCAACCATTTTTTTAACTCAACTTTAACTCAACCCCATTATCATCAATATTATCAATATAATTAAATAATATCAATCAATCATTTATACACAACACATCAACCTTAATTTACTATTCATCCACTCACATTATTTTAACTAACCATCACTTCAAATCATCTTTCTCCTACTTTTACATCAAATCAATTTTAATTATTTTATTTTAAATATTATTTTAATATGCCCACTAACAACTAACCATGCTACCTTTTTCAAAATTAACCAAACCAAACCAAAAATCCAGCAAAACCAAAAAATTTTCATATCCAAACATGTTTTCAGGTACGAGTATATTATACACTAAAGTTATTTAAAAAAACATAAGTTATAAAACATGGAATGAGAATTCCAATACCTTGTAGATCCTGTGGCTGAATACTTCCAGTAACCTAAGTTCAGTTTCTGGATGGGACAGCTCAGCCTGTGTAACATTTTGTGCAACTTAATTACTGAAAGTTGTGCTATAGCGTGCGGAACCCAGATAACAATCAGTTGTACACAATGGATAAAGAAAATAACTCAAGAAATGAATCCTTATTTAGTTGCTGATAAAATAAAATATACCAACATTATGAACATAATTGTCTACAGTTCTAATGATTACCTTCAACCTGATATCATCAAGTATATCACTGACAGTGCCTTCTTTCGGCACTCTGACGTTGTGAATTGTCATCTAGAAAATAATAATTTTGTCAAACATGTAATAGCGTAATAAACAGGTATGCCAAAAGCATACTACTTCACAATAAGTTCAATTACTACAGTTCTGCTTACTCACTTCATGATTTGATGCATTACGGAATGCTACTTTCAGTGTTCTTAAACCTTGTAGTTCTGGCAGAGGCATATCCAAGATTTCGTAGTACAGTATATCAGATGTCTGAAGAAAAATAATGTTGTCAATATTTTAAAGACATATTTAAACTCTAACTCATATTGAAGAATGACTTACCTGATTGTAGTGCAGCAACATGTCTAGCAAATTATCTACCCCTCGATACTTTATGGGGTGAGGTTTTGGCTGCTGTGAATATGAATTATGTGACGTGAGACGAATTTTGGAAGGATCATCTATTCCAAGATGGTGAGCTATTCTTTTGACAACTTCATCATATGTGTCGAGCTTTGACCTTTGTATTCAAAAGTGTGCCACAATTAAATTCCTATGCAGAATCAATGACCAACCAAGATGGAAAAAGTAAGTTGTGATCCCTATCGCACTTACAGTTGTAAAGAAAATTCATGCTCCTTGGGCTTTTCCAGGGACCGAAAATGAATAACCTGCAACAAATTCAATGTAGGATTAGGAAGACTTCATACATTTAGAAATCAGAGAGAAGTATTGCAATATAGTTTATTTCCAACATGTTCAAATAAACAAGCGACAGAAATGACAGAATACCATGGTCCTATAAAAGGTCATTTCAAAGTAACCATACACTTAGGAAGCGCACTTAGTTACCATGCACATTGAATTCATCGTTATAAAACCATTTCCACTTTAATACAACAGGAAATTTTAGAATATTCAGCCAAACAGGCATGCTGTAACAATTGAGTGTATAAGGATACTGCTATCAATTAGTCCAAGAACACATGATAGATACTAATAATGTTCCTTTAATTTCTAATGCAACTTACTTGGAGATTATAACGGTATTCAAAGAATGATGGAACATCTGGACAACGAAGTTGTTGACGAGCCTGGGCTGAAAGAGATTTCTGAAAGCAAACTATGTCTCCATCCTCAAGCTGCAGGTAGAAAGGAAAGGAAAGATGTCAAAAGAAAAATCTGGTACACATAGCATGAAATGGGTTATGATGAAACAAACCTGGCTAGATCTAAATGTAAATCTCTTGTCAATCAGTTCACACATGACATGGGGCTCAAATTTTATTTCCTGAACACCAGAAACACAAGACATCTTTATCATATTAAATGGATTTATTGTCGCACTTTTGGGCAATGACATTAAGTATGAGTTCCACTGTCTATTCAATGGACATTTGACAAACTGCAGGATAATGTGATTCGACAAAATAATTGACACAGAGCCAGTTTGGCAGGACGGAAGGAAAATTATCCATAAAAGCAACTAACAAATTATGTAATGCGCACCCACCACACCCATTCCCACCTTTCAGGTCAAGAAGAAGAGGTGAATTAATAACAAAATACAGTTATACATGACCAAACCCAGTTTACTAATAAGAGCACAAAAGGAATAGAACAATAATCTTTGATGGGAAAAACGATATATGTTATAAACAAATGACAATATCTTCATACTAATAGGATAATTTTTCATATTAAATGAAAGATAACATCAAGGTGTACAGAAGATCATCAGGGATTTACAATGAACCACATATTCTCCGTCACTAGACTAGGCATGGGATATTGGGACAAACCTCATAGAGATCAATGTCTTCATCAGGAGCATAGCCTGCCATCTCATTTAGTTTCGCCAAGATATCTATTGGCTTGCTCATGCTCTTAACAAAATGTTTTCCAGCATATCTGATATTAAATGAAGATGCACAAACTGTCAAAGAAATGGATCTCATCTTTGCCTTCTAGGAATATTTGGAAACACTACAAACCAATGAAACAACTAAATAAAGAACAAGAAGATGAAGAATACCTAAGCACTTCTTTTTCTGGATCATAAAGCTTGAAGAATAACAGAATGTCATCTTTACCCTTATCAGGGAGAGTGTTGGGCTGCAAATCCTATTATGACAAAATAGAAATTAAAGTAACGCCACATTTGAAAAGGGAGATACCTCGGTGACAGTATGGCCCTAAAGACGTTTGTACAAAAACATTAAATTACCGGTCCAAGCTCCAATTCTAAGAATAACCTCAGGTCAGCATTCTGAACATTATTAAATGCATCCCTCAAATGTCCAACCTACAAATAATCAAACATTAAAAATGAACATGAGAACATTAAATCATTTACCTATTACCATGAGTACTGAGAAATTTGATGCTTCATTATGCAAATAAAAAAAATTAATGGATGAAAAAGATTTAACAAAAAAGTGTTGACTATTATTAAGTTACACGGACACACCACTCATTGCACCATGCAATCTTACATAAGTTCATATCAAGATTTTGTTATGTCAGGGAAGTATATTCCAGGAAAACATATAAACACAGCTCAAGAAATTTAGATGGCATTAGAGATTTTTCGTTAGTTTGCACTTTGTACATTATTGCGATCGTGGTTTGTTTGTCACTCATACCGTCTACAGAAATTATGTAATGCGCTTGATAAATGTGTAATTCAGCATGTATTTGTGGCATTATGAACGAGAAACTTGGTGAAACCTAGGCTAGATCAACAAGGGCAAGTGCAAACTTTGGTCATATAGATCCGAGTAAATATACTTAAAACATGTCAATTGACACGCAAAAACTGTAAAAATAAGGCACAGTGCATTAAAAACTTCAACCTATAAAGTCACAAGATAGAAAGAACTAAATCGTCACTGAGTGGGTGACAGTACAACAAGCAATGCACTATTGACAATTCAAAGAAGACCACATAAACAATCAATTAAAAGAAAAAAATATATATACTTAGTGCAATTCTTCCTCACGTTTTTCATTGGAATTTAGCTCAATAAATCAGAAATGAAATTACTAACCAGGAGAAAAGGAAGAGATCAAGATACCAGAATTGGGAATACTACCACAGGACGAATGTGTTCAAGGATAATATAGAACAAAGAAGAGGACCAAAAGTCTATATATTAGTCAGCATTGAGCAAGTAACTAAATTAACCTGAGGCAAAGCCAAAGGATGCTTACAGTTTCTGTTTCCTCAAGTTGAGTCAATGGCCGGTTAGGACGACATGTGTGGTTTTGGCGCTTTGCCCACAGCCAAAAGCGCTGGAATTGCACAGGTATGCCAAATTCCTTTGCGACCTCTTCCTGGGGTTATTTCATAGTTAGCTGATATTATAGTTAACAATGACAACAGTAATTGCAACTTCATTGTGCAAATCCAATGAAATCTAGCACATGTCTGAGGACATAGGATTTGACTCCACCAGAGTAACAAATAATTAAACAAACACATATCAGTAAAAAAATAACACAAATAAAAAGAAGATGTAATAAAAGTAAAGTATGAACAAATTAACACAAAACACATGATGTACATTTGAAATAGCAAAGAAGAGAAACACGTGGCAACATGGAAGGTATACTCATATTCTCCTTCCCTTCCTTTCTTTTTGTGGGTTCTCAAAGAAACAAGTAACACACAAGTTTAGAAGGTTTTCACCACGGACACAAACAAAATATATTAAATATTTATTAGTAACAGGCCATTATCAGTAAGTTTTTACAACAAGGTAAAAAGCACTCCAAGAAAGAATTTTTAACAAGTTTTACTTGATAGGGCTCTACCTTTAGTAACAGGAGGAACGGCAGGGGAGGGAGTTTAAATTCCTAAGAAACTGCATGATGCAGGGATGAACTTTGTATTAACCAATTCAACACCCTTTTAAATGGTGAGAGGTACAACTTGAGCCACAAGGTCATGGGACCTTTAACTGACTTTATACAGCTAAAATAAAGAAATTATATATTTTATTTCTATCGTAATAATTTTTTCAACACAATTGTGATGGACATCAGGATGTGAATTTTCTAGTCTTTCTGGTTACAACTTTACCCTAGTGCAGCAAGACCACCTCCTTTTGACTGGTATTACTAGTAAAATTATCTTTCATGATCAAGGCTTATCATGGCTTGCATAAATTCTACTGACAAGTGGACAGCACCTTAGCATACACCCACAATGTAGAGGTTATTATGATAATAAAAATTAAGCTAGCCCAGTTAATCAACTTGTTATCACAAGGACAAAGATGGCACAAATTGGCAATGCTTAGTGAGAAGTTCTGTGTATACAACTACCACGTTAAGTGGAAAAATAATTGTTTCTAGAAAAGCGACGAAGCATTCTCTCTTTAACAAACACCCACACATCCATGCTAGGAGAGCATGTTCAAACTAAATTAACTGTTTTCTGCAAAAGCATACTCTCTTTAGCAACCCTCCACACATCCATGCTAGTAAGGCAAGCTCAAACTAGCTTCTAGCTTCAAATAAACAATAACTTCATCTGAAATTTTTCATTGCAGTTCACGGAAAGACTAGTCCAATTCACTATAATTATTTCCTATATCATAAATGCTGATTTATCAGCATGCTACCTTGTGTCCCCAACTGAATAGATACAACAGCTAAAAAAACTGCAACCAAGGTACAATTTAACAAAAATCAGATATTGTGTTTATCAAGGTTATATAGTATACACCTTGAAAATGTTAAATGGCATTGCCCTCTGGACACGAAAGCTCCTCACTTTATCATGATCCACTAAATCAAAAAAGACATTCCTACCAATTTGCCAAGCAAAATCTTCATCACATGCAACCTGAAAACACAGTTTATTTTCTTACATGAAGTAACCATTCTGAAAGAGGAGAAGAAAAAACAACAAAATAAACCACCATTACAAGTTTAAAATAAAATGAACCACCTTTACAACAGTATAAAGATGAGCTTCAGCCTTTTCTTTTCTCTTTTGCTCCTTTTCCTCTTGCTCTTTCTTCAGCCGCTCCTATAGGTGGCATCAGAAAATTTAATAAGGCCAAGATATAGGGGGAAAGGAACAAATTCTCAAGATAACCAAAAGTCTGCTGATATGATGATCTGACCCTAAGATGCTCCGCGATGTCCTTCTCATCAACAGGACACATTATTTTATCCTTATCACTTTCACGTATATACACCAGCATATAAGCATTTGAATGCTTTGTAAACTTGAAGGGTGTATTATTGATTCCCTGATTTGTCTGCATCATGTGCTGAGATGATCCAAATGTAAGGTTGTAACTTGCAACAACTCAAAATATAAGCATCCAACAAAAATCTATATGACGGGGATATACATATAGTTAGTGAGTGAGTGAGAGAGAGAGAGAGAGAGAGAGAGTTGGAGAGACAGAAACCTACTTCTTCCTCACCACCGAATAGCTCTTCCATAGACTTTTTCATGTCCTCTTTGGTCACTCGTTCATCATCAAATTTATACCTTCAGTCCATTCAGAATAACTTACATAAGACAACTCACTCTAAAAATATCAATATGAATTCGTTCTCCAAAGAATTTAGGCTTTTGCTACATGATTCAGACAGTGTGCTCTGATAACTTTGGTAAATTGTTTATCTACGATAGAGCTGACTTTGAAATTATGGACAATCATTAAATGCATTACAAACTAAGGATAGCATCCTAGTTTATGCAGCACGTAGATATGACAAGAAATCTGGACACATTCCATCCAAATAGCTATTACCCCATTATAAAATGCATCACAGCTAAATTTGCTGTAAACATGATTATCAAGTTTGGGCATAGATATGTACCATTGGCTGGACAGAGTGGGCCTTATAAAAGCATAATAATGTCCACCATGCACACCACCACTGTGGACCAAAACACTGCAAACAAACAAACTGGTCAGCATCAAGTGGGGAGGGGAGAGGGGATGCAATAACACTGCATGATTCAACTTTCTACAGTTGGTGAATAAGAAATAAATATTCCAGGGAAATCCCCAAATGCAATAAAGGTTACAATGTATACATTGAGATGCACTGGTTGATTCAAGGACCTAAGGAAGGTACTAAGAATGTGTTATTATCAGCTTTTAGCCACAATGGCTACATCACTTGTAAGCAGTAAGTCATACAGAAACAGAATTTTCGAAATACAACAATACACATCAAAATAATTTATCGAAGGAAATAAACAAATGTTGAACACATTTTGAAGCGACAAATTTGGATTTGTTGACTTGTAAACTTTGAGCAAAAGCACATAATTGTAGAAGTTATTTGGCATATCATAAAATACAGTTCAAAAGGGAAAATATATTCCATAAAAATGGAAAGGTAGCGGATTTCTTACAAAAGAACGGTCTAGATAAGACATAAAAAAGGGACTTGTGATTGATGGGATCATGATTCATGAACCCAGAGATAAACTATTAAAAGAGAAGGCACAACCATATTTGTAACTACAATTCAAGAACCACACAATGTATTTGCTATTAAAATCTATATATAACTTAGGCAAAACAAATCTCTATCTTCTGACCTGTGAAGTGTGTAAAGGTTGCGTACTCGTCTATCAGCTTCTGGTGACAAGTATTTGCCATTATCTCTATCCAGATCAAGTTGAAGCGGAAACTCATAGCGGTCATTTATCTGCATCATCATAACCGAGATAACTAACTACTTATGTGAAAGAAGTTTAAATGGGATAAGACAGATATGCACCACTAAGTACAAGTTAAAACAACTACGAAAATTATTAATGTGCAACAAATCAAAGCTATAAGCAGGTTTGTGTATGTCTGCAGCCAGAGCTTTTCATGTTGGAAATAAGAAATCCATGCAAGCTTTTTGGCCTCACATTGTGCCTTGAAGTTATTGCTCGAACAACAGAGTCATCATGATTTCAGATTCTAATGCTGAATACCAGCATATGTGTTACGTATGAGTTGCCGTACTAACACAGGCCTACTTTCCCCATTAATGTTCAACCTTTCTTCTTTACTCACTCAAGTTGTAATGTTCAAAATTATGCAGGAACTCAATATGAAGGGACATATGTATCTCATCTTCATCAAGTCTATTTCGTACCACAGATATAATGCACCAGGCAAGTTCATCAATTAGAAGTCAACAGAAAATGCAGATATCACTCTTTAGATATCACTCTCTACTGCTGACCTTAATCATAATGTCTCGCGAAAAATCATATTCAAACCGCTTTAAATGAAGCTGGAGAACTGGAGGGAAGTCAATAAACAAGACACCTTTCTTAGCATCCTGAAATAAGAAACGAGTAGAAAGATGATAATTTTGCATAACTCATTGCATACGTTATATGTCCTAACAGAAACAGAAAAACAGGGTATTGGGCAACCCAGCTAATATAAACATGAACCGGCAAGCAGAGCTTAGCTCAGCTGACAGCTCTACATTAAGTAAAGTTCACGGAAGATCAATCAAATTTTAACAGGCAAAACAACATTTGTGAAATCTAGTCGATCTATGCACCTGTAAACCATATTGTTCGGCGTGATATTTGTTGTCTCCATCTAGATGTTCAACTGCGACATACTTATCAAATGAGGCATAGACGTCATTACAGCCCTTAACATCAAGTTGAAGATCTGCCACATAGAGGATACAGATGTTCATAAAGTTTTAGCATAAAATCAGCAGTCAAGGACATGCAAGTGATGTTCAAGTACCATAGAATGATTCCTTTCTACTAGATTTGTAATCCACGTTGATGCATTCTATATAGTTCATATGATGGCCCTCAAATAACTGCTGTATGGAGCCTTCCACAACAGTTCTCTGATAACAGAATGACAATAGTAGTGGCAACAGTCAGCTAACAATAAAACTCGATTTAAGGCAATCACAAGTAGTGTAAACGATAATTAAAATGTATTCTAGGAACCTTCATCTTTTCTTCAAGCTTTTCACAAAGAACTCTGTTGAGTTCTTGTACGTCATGTTGCAAAAAAGCATCATATGTATCCCACCCAAAGGATTTTGTCAACTCCTTTGTTGCAACACTGCTGTCACTGTATTGAAGCTTATAAAATAAGCTCTGCAGAGCCAATGGGATACTTGCAGTTGGCATATCACTGACATTGGTTGGCATGTGGTATACAACCTGAACAGAAAAACAATGACATAACACATGTTGATGAGAACCATATATATGTGTATATATATATATATATATGTATATATATATATATGTATATATATATATATGTATATACATATATATATATATATATACACAAAAACAAACTCTTATATTTTGCATAGTACTGATGGAAATCCCGACCTTCCTGAAATAAGGAATATGATATAGCGTTTGGAGAAGAGAATTCATATAACAGGTAGCCCCTTGGTTTTTTAGTCCCACAAAACCAGTTTCTTTCTTTGAATTGTATAGCCATGGATCCATAGCTCTAGAGATTGCAACCTCAGCTTCAATTATGCAGGTGTCATTGACAAGAAAACCTCTGCTTGAATCATAAAGTTCAGCAAGTGGCAGAAAGGATGTAAACCCCCAATCATTTTCTCGGGCATTGAATTGATGTTGTGTTTCTGCAATTAAGATATGACATGGCTCAATAACACTGGACATCCAACATACAATAAAAGCAGACCGGGAAAAAAAAAAGATTATCGTTTTATTACTCGAATCTGTATTTCACATCAGCACAATCATCTGCATAGGCATTGAGAACAGTGTCTCCACCTTAAAGTGTTTAAAAGATACAAGACAAATAGCCCATATAAATTCATACATTCCACCTCATATAAGGGTTTAGTATGAATCCAGAATTAAACAGTGAAATCAGCTGGAAATTGAAACTATAAAGGAGTCTAAGTACCTTTTCTGACTGAATACTTGACATGAACTTGATTAACAACAGCCAAACTAAAGTGGGCATATCTACTCCATCCATTAGGTAAAGACGCTGAATCAGCCACATCCAAATACATGGATAGATGCTCAACGTTATTCCCCTTTGGAAATATAAGAATACGCCTGACATGCACAAATGGAAATGTTTTTGCAATTAATACAATTGTTATCAAAGTGTGCAACAATAAATTGATGCTCCCAACTTGTATCAGACTCAAAATTACCATTTATATTCACAGAGTTCAAATATTTCAGAGTAGAGCTTCTTCATGTTCAGTCTAGAAAATTTCTCAATTTTCCAATAGAACTTGGTCGTACAAGGATCCTCTGCTGGCTGGTTTTCTGCAGTACTTTCTGCTGCTTCTATTTGTACAACAAACAGATGAAAACAAAATGAAACATATGGAGATAAAAGTAAAGAAAACCAGTGTTATTCATGATGGGTCGCACGTAGATTTATAGCAAGATAGTATGATTCAGAAAGTATTTAGTTCCTAATTATATTCTCATCTCAAGATATGAGATATGAATTATTACTGCAAAAAGGGGAGAATGCAAAGCCTGAGTTTCAGCAATAAGAGACTCTAAAAATATGCATAGCAGACCAACAATTAATGACTACTATCTGATGATTACACAACTGTTAACTCACTGATTTCTTCTGCCATTTCTGTTAAGTGAAGTACATCACACAGAATATAACTCATTTTCCAATAACAAGGCCATGGTTTACAGAAAAGAAGAGGAAAAATATTAATAATTTTTATTTTCTTTTTCCTAAAGAGCCATCTCAAAGGTTCCCCATTCTTGCACTTTTAAGGACGGAGTAGCCAAAATCCCTTTTAACAACGTAAATTGATCCAAGATAGTTGAGCGGAAATTTACAGCAAAAGCAATCGAGATACCTTCTGCGGTTTGAGGCCCTTCCACCAAATCCGATCGCGGGACCAGCATGTCCTCATCCTCTTGCTGCCAAAATTGAAAAAACCCTTAAACATCAAAACCATTCACATAAACCCATTCGCCTGATCGCGGACGCACACAAACTCGAAACGAAACAAAATCAATTCGATATATTGCAACTCCTTTTCCGGCCAAATACACCCAATAAGTCGCACATAAAAACGCACGAGTGTGTGTGGGGCTTGCAAATCCACACACAAACAAAACTTGCAGGCGTTTGAGCTTATCGATAGATGACGAGTTCTACAAACCTCATTCGGAGCAGGTGGTGCCATCACAGTCATGTGACGCGATTTATGCTTGAAGTCAGCCCTAGATGGCGAGTAAACTTGATTTAATTTAAGCTTTTATATGCAGACGTTATATTAGAATTTGGGAGTTCGGTGTGCAAGAGGAAAGAGTACTGGCCACTGGGTAGAAGGTGGTGGGGAAAGGAGGACTTTCACAGTGTTTTGTCTAGTGTTTGAGTCGATAAAATCAAAATCTTGATAATTTCTAGGCATGGATTGCAATTCACTACTCAGATTTTATAACTATAACTAGAATTAGTATAACTAGTATTCGACCTTGTACATTTGCACAAATGTAGATAAAATTAAATATTATAAGTTATTTGTAAGCATATAATATTAAAATTATAAGTTAAATAATAGAATTATATTTCGAACATATAGTATTATAAGTTATATTTATGCATATAATATTAAAATATAAATTAGATAATAGTATTAAATTTAAAAATTTGATCAATGGTTAAAATAAATAGTATATACGATTTGATTGCATACGAATCACTATATTGATTGCATACATAGTAAAAACTTATATTTTTTGTAATTTGAATGATCATGACCAATTAATTAGCTGAAAAAATTAAATTATAACAATTACTTATATGAGTTTAAGAAATTTTATTGTGACATAAAAGAAATTAATTTATTTAAAAAACAATCGCTTAATAATATAAAAAAATATAAAATTAATTTTAGTGTAAAATAATTTTATGTAACTTTCATATATCATTCAGTGTAAAATATATTACTAATTTTAATATTAACTATTATATGATTCCATAAAATTATTATATGATTCACTAAGAAATATAATTATTACTTAATTAACATAAAATATAATAGTTTAATTAACCACAAAAAGTGTAATGAAATTTATTAGGTTTTATTTATTAGGTAAAATTTATTGATTACTTAATTTTATTTATTGATTTGCCACATAGGTAAAATTTATTAGGTTTTATTTATTAGGTAAAATTTATTGCTAAGCTAGCAATTATATATATATAGATAAATGTATATTACACGGGTACTTGCTAAAAAAATTAGTGCAGTACTGGTGTGATGTACGGGCTAGTTTTATTAAGATATTTAGATTTGGATGATTGGAATAATGTAAGACGCACGTATTGGAATAAAATAAAATGTATTTTATATATTATTAAACACATTCTTGAACAAAATATTATTTGTTTGATCTTTTAGTACATCGTTTATCGCGACAAATTATATTAGGATTCTACATAGGCTTAAATAAATTAATTGAATTATTTAACAAGATATATATGATTTGATTTATACTGCTTTTATGATGATTGCATAGTCAAATATAACGGAGATTGTAAAACGACTTTCTTGATTATCTATAGCCTTATTATTTCAATATTATAAATTACTTAATTTAAGGGATAGAAAAATTGTGTAAGTGTATGCAATCAATTTCAAATTTGTATTCTAGAGGATTAAACAAAACCCAAATTTTTAGGATGTTCCAATCCGATTTCATTTTGAATTTAAATTAATATTATCTGACTCTGTATTATGTTTATAAAAAAATCCGAACTAAAGAAAATAGTAGCCAAATAATAAGGGATTTTTAAAATTTAAATTTCAATTTGAAATTGGGCCCGATTTCTATGCAATCCGATTTTTTTAATAAACATGATCTGTTGCAATTAGGTAAAGATATATGTTATAGTATTTTGCCTAATTCGAAATTTTCGACTTTATGGTAAACAAATTTTTTTTAATAAAAAAGAGAGAATTTTGACTTTTACAAAATTGTCATGCCGAATTTTACCTAAACTTATGCATATCCCGTGCATCACCGTGCGATGCACGGGGAAATTCATACCTTAAACTTTTGTTTTAGGCTTTATTCTAAATATAAATGTTTATATTTTTCACATCTCATCTCATCTCACCATGGAAATAAAATAAATAAAAACGATGAAAAATCATATTGTAACGCCCCGTTATTGTTAGGAGAAAAATAGTGATTATTTTTTCAAAAATCAGAGTTAAATTTTTAAAAATCAATTTAAAGATTTTTTTAACGAGCGCTACTCAAATCAACCACATTTAATCAGTTTAAGTCGACACTTAAACGACGAGGTACAAACATCCCGATAAACATCTCATGCCAACATGCCTCGATCAAATATCGAATCATAAGATAATCCAAATTCATAATTCCAAAATAATGATCCAAATTTCAAATCCCAAGGATGCATAATAATCCCAAATACATGGTTCAAATTCCAACATCAATAATAAAACATGTCTGACTATGAGATAGATAATAAATAAGTAAGCGGAAGCAGGTAAACAATTCAACAGCAGATAAATGACCCCGCCTCGCTTGTCTTTCGCCATGGCCACCAGCTCAACCTGGAAAGGGGGATTAGTGGGAGTGAGTGACCAACATGCTCACTGTGGGAATACCATGCAGTATAATCGATATAAAGACTTAAAATCATAATCTCAGCATGTAAGCAAATCGACTAGTCTACCCCTTAAAACAGCCCTACGCTCATGTGATCACATCTAAACCGTCGATACACCATCAACGGGAGCAAACCGTCGATACACCATCAACGGAATAAGCTCTCTAAAGGCTAGAGTTAGGAGTGGTCGGCAACCCATCAACCGAGATAACCTTCTCATATACTACCGGTTCACATGCATACATTGATTATCAAGCCAAGCATTTATAGAAATTAACATACACGGTAAGGTTTATCAACAACCACCTGACCAGTTTTGGCAGACAGATCACACGATCATTTGTAGGTAGGCTAAGGCTCGACTCCTCAAACACCTACAACTTAATCAAGATAATATTTCAAAAATACTTATCTTCAAAGTCGGGAATTCAAAATGAGAATTCATACTTGGTCGAAAAATCGTCGACGAAGTAGCTCGTGGAATTTGGAACCCTCGCATTTCAATGAAATATTTTGAAAAACCATTTAAAAAGGCCAAAAATGGATTTTACGCGAAAAATAGGGTCAAAGGCTCAAAAATCGGTCAAACGGGTCGGGAAAAATAAAACCAGGTTCAATTGGACCGGCTCAGGTGCGATTCGGATCACGCGGGTACAGCCGGGAGTGTTCGGGCACGGACCGGGGCTGCTGGGAATGCAAGGGTGCGGACAGGCATGGGTCGGGTCCTGTTGGTACGCGACTGGGGCTGCTGGGCACGGTGCGCGGGCGCCAGGCTCGGTCCTTGGTCGTTGGAGGGTGCAGGGGCACGGTGCAGGGACGCTGGACACGGGTACAGGGTCGTTGGGCACGGGTTGAACGCTGCAGACGCTATCTGGGACGTCTCGAGCTGTCGGGTACGGCACGGGAGGTACGAGACATGCGCAGGGGTTCGACAGGGCACGAGATGCACGCGGGTGCGCTGTACGGGCACGTGTCTGCTGCGGCTTGCCCGTGTCACTACAGGGGCTCCTGCGGGGTCTGCCACCTGCCAGCGCCGCGGTCTGCACACACAGCTCGGCCAGCGCCCGTGACAGCCACCCGGACAGACTGCTAGGGTTCTAAAGATGGCTTTGGTTCGATAGGCTAGGGACCGAATTTTTGCATGAAAATTTTACAACATATAAATAACCAAGTTAGATATTCCCATTTCAAAAATCAGCCAAATTGCTCGAGTAGAAAATTTTAGAAAATTCTTGGACTAACAGAGGGTCAACTTGACTTTAAAAATCAATTAGGCCATTAAACCAAATTCCGAAAATTCCAATTGGCTCCAGATCATTTAAACACAACATAAGGGTCCCAAATCCACAATATTTCACAAAGATGCTCGAGATTTATCACAAAATCATCAAATACCAATAGATTTCAAAGCCAACATATAAATCCATATCAAAATCAATAGGATCTAATCAAAACTCAAACAAGCACAACATGTAACATCCAAACAGAGAGGGAACAACCATCATTTACCGTTGACCTCAAGAAACTGTTGGGATCTGTGAGGATCTCGTTATGTACAAATCACGAATTCAATAGCAAACGTAAACCTATGCGCAGCGGATCTAAAGGTTTGA